ATTTCCCTGATGATTAGAGATGTTGAGCATTTTTTCATGTTTTTTGACCATTATTCTGTCTTCTTTTGAAAAGTTTCTGTTCATGTCCTTTGCCCACTATGAGTCTATTTTTTAAATTTTATGGAAATGTATGAAATCTAAATACAGATCAAGTATTTCTGATGAAAATTTACCATATGAATTGAGACATGCTATAAATGAAAAAACACACTCCATTGTAAAACTTAGTATAAAAAAAGAATGTAATATCTCGTTAATATTTTATATTGATTTTAGGATTTGATTTTATATGATTATATTTTATGTTGATTTTATATGCCAAAATAATAATATTTTGAAAATATTGGACTAAAAAATACATTATTAAAATTAAAAAAAAGAAAAAAGAAAGCCATGGTAAAGAAAATCACACATACTCTAATAGTTCATCATTGTGCCCTACACCACAAAAATTAAATCTTGGAATAATATATTAAAATAATGGTAGCAACAGCTTTAAAATAAATCATACCTTGATACTGTGTCTTCATCAATTATAACTGTCCTTTCAAACAAGATACTGTTGAATGAGAGGACTCCATAGGGTTTGTCATTTGGCTTAATGGTGACTTGTACAGTAGAAGGGCTTACTAGCACGGCATCTCCCTGTAAGGTATCTTTTAGTAACATGATGTGAAATGATTCAGCAATTTCTGGTATGGTGTCATCAACTATTTGAAATTTAAGGTGAGATTCACGAATGAAAGGTGGAAAAACAATAGTTGTGTTTGGCTGAAGATCAATGAAGTCCAAGTTTTGTTGGGCATGTGCTGTGGAATTCCCAGTCACAACAGTATAACTGATGGAAACTTCATATTCATCAGATCCAATCAGATTTCCATTGTTGTCCTTTCCACGAACCACTGGAATTATGAGTATGTGGTCTTCCTCGGGGACCAAATAAACACTCTGAATGAATCTCACGGGACTATCGTTTTTCTTAATGATGATCTCAACTGAATTCCTAGAGGTGTTGATCTCAGCTCCCCCTTCCACACTTTTCAGTTGAATCAAAAATATTTCATCATTTTCTGGTACCTGTCGAAACAGTGGCAAAACATCAATACCCAAAACACTTGCAAAGACACTAAAGGGTAACGAGTCATTATGTTTCAATACAATTACATAGAAATAAACATTCTATAACTAAGGAAGCAAATAGAGAAGCTTGTTTAGTCTCCAATTACTAAAGTATTTTCCAAAGGTAAATAATGTATTTTAAATAGGAAAGGAAAAGTTAAAAAAGCAATGGTAATGAAGGTATAGATAAAATGAGGTAATGAAGTATAGACAAAATGTCTTTCAATAATTTATCTTTAGATAAATCCAAAGATTAAACAGTAAAAAAATAGTAAAAATAGACATGAATTCTTTCAGTTTTATCAGTTTGATAGGGTCAGAAACAGCATTCAAGGTATAATAATATCTAAGAATCTGGAAAGTATATTAAACATCATATAAAAATTGTTAGTTTTCAACCATGTGAATTATTCATGTTTTTCTCTAACATGTTTCTAATTCAGGAGTTAAACATGTGACTCCACCATTATGATTTCCAAGACACACATCATGCCTCTCTGGAGAACAAGCTGTAAGAGTCACTACTAGGCAGGGTGTGGTGGCTCGGGCCTGTAATCCTAGCACTTTGAAAGGCTCAGGTGGGAGGAGTTCAAGACCAGCCTGAGCAACAGAGGAAGACCTCTCAAAAAATATCTCTACAAAAAATAAAAAATTAGCTGGGCATGGTGGTGCATGCCCCAGTAGTCCTAGCTACTGGGGAGGCTGAGGCAGGAAGATTGCTTGACGGTACTCTAGTCTGGGCAACAGAGTGAGGCCGTGTTTCAAAAAAAAAGAAAAAAAATGGAGTCACTACTAGCAAAATTTTGACATTGTTAAAGTGAAATATATTTTTTTGTAGCTGTATGGAAATCCTGGGGTTCATCTCCACTATGCTGTCTGAGCTTTTCATTCACCATAAATTCTATCTTAAAATTAAAGTAAAAAAAAACACATCTTTTTACCTCCATCAATAACAATATAAAAAGTAAAGCTATTTACCTCAAAAACTAAAATGCTATTATTTGATTGATGATCTTTTAAATTTACAATCAAAATGTATAATTAATCACCTCCCCAAATAATAGCTGTTCCAATGTTCTGTGATCTTAAAACAAAAATTCTTATAGGTTTCCAGAACCAGAGAAACTAGAGTTATCAATACTACCAAATATTTCACTTTTTCAAAAGAAATATTCTTTTCTAATAATGTTTTCTAATGCATTTTTTTCTTCTCTTGTGGTTTCTTTTGATTTGATTCCAGAAATTTTGAGGGCGCGTAGAGGGAGGGTTAGTACTGTTCTTGCTCAAAATTGAAATCACTAACAAAAATCAATCATCAGGGTACACAAAATGCTTAAGTTTTTGTATTGCGTGGTTGCCAGCTATATTCAGGTTCATCAGTTTTTAGATTTATTATAATATTTAATGTGAATTAAGTAAGGTAAATAATAAAAAGATGTATTCCAAAGTAGCTATTTATAAGTAAAGTATGACTGTCGGTCACAATATGCTAACTTTGCATAGGACTATGTTCTGGAATAATCTAAAACACTGAACACAATTTAATACTTGACATAAAGTTCTCTAACATGTCTGTAACACAGACAAAATCCTTGCTACATTTAAGTATTTAACATTAACCCACCTCATCATCAAGTACTGTCAAGTTATAAAGTACTGTTGCTCTGCCAGGGAGAAAGGTGATATTTCCTTTAACTGGACTCAAATCTTCTTCAGGGGGATTTGGCCCATCTTCTACCTGCGAGGTAACACACAGTTCCATCAATAAATACAAAATATTTCATAATATTGATAAAGCATTGTTGTGATGTCATCTGAAGTTTACTTAAAGAAGTTTTGCAAGAATTATACTAATCCGTACATAAATTTGCCCTTCTAATTAACAGAGTCCATAATGTAATTATACATATTGACTATAATTACATTCAACTATGTGGTTTCTAGGAGCTCTCTATTTTTTCTCAACCATTATATTAAACCTGAGGAAAAATCTCTATAAATATTTCTTTTTGGAAGAAAAATCCAAGATTAGTAAATTCCCTCAAGTAATGGAATCAAATACCAGTATTTTCTACTCACAGACGGACGTGAAGATGTGAAGAATGTATAGAATCATTTATTTTTGAAAGTATTGAGTATTGAGGTCATGCCTGACCTCTTTTAGGGTCTAAGGATATAGCAGTGACCAAAGCAAACTCCTTTCCACATGAGCCTGACATTTAATGGAAGGGAACAAATGATAATTAAACAAATGCTTATGTGTCAGATGATAAGTATTATGGAGAAAAAATTAAGAAGAGCATGAGAGAGACTGAGTGCTGGGGAGAGGTGCCATTTATACGCAACAATAATCAGCAGAAAGCACTACAACAGAATATGGCAATGTTAAGTTCTCTACAAATGTTACCCATAGTTATTTCATCAAGAAAAAGGCTACAGACCCAATAAAATAACTTTAGACATCCATAATAAGTGGAAAACACTATAACCTGGATGTCTTAACCTTTCTACAGCCAATTATTTTCTAATCTTTCCCATATTTGTTATTAGAAATATTTTCAAAAACTTATTATCTGAATTCATATTGCTAAGTACATGAAAAATTGCTGAAGGCTTCCTGTGTAGAACTTGCAAGACTACTGCATATTTAGTTAGTGTTTACTATGTATTTTAATGCATTATTGACTTACACTATTTTATGTTCTTATGTAATTAATACAACTACCACCTGATGTAGATATCTACGAGAATAAATAAAACTCCTCTATGCTTCAACAGAATTGTATTACATAAATCCAGTATCCATTTTATTGCTATTATAATTCATAATTAAGATAGAAACTGGTATCAGAAATTTCTAATACTCTAATATTTGAAAATAGTATATGATCATGTTCTGGATCTCATAAAACTCAAAAATTAGTTGAAGATTTAAATGTGGATCTCATAGAACAGCAATGTGGTGACACAATGGTAGGGACACGGTCAGTAAGCAGTCAAATAAAATGGTTACAGCCAGCACCTGAGAAATGCAACTCACTCACAGCCTATCTTATTCATGCGGCATTTACGGATCTCTACGGAGGAGTGCAATGGCTGTATTCAGTGTACTGAAAAAAATGGGGGAAGGCTACATATTAAATAATTTTATATAAGCCTAAGTAATCTATCGGTATTTTTAAAATTTATATCCTTGAAAAGGTTTATCATAAAGGTTCTATAAATTTTATAAAATTAACATTATTGTTATTCTATTTTGTGATTCAGATTACCACTTATCTAAAATGATATTCCGTGTTTCATGTAAGCATTATAAGTAAGCAATAGGGAAAACATTTTTACATTAGTCATGAAATTTAACAGATAACAAAAGGATTGATCTTTATTTTAGTCATATTGTGTCATGTTTATTATACAAAGGACCTTGATTTTTAAAACTGTAGCTTTCTGGTAAGTACCCCAAGGTGTTACCATTTAAAATGATTTCAGAATAAACTTACCTCAAAAGTCACAGTGACCACTCCATAGGTTCCCTTCTCCCTGATGAGAGTAAGAGGCACAGACTCATTTCTGCCCCTGGGCTCACTCACTGTGATTGCGGAAGGCTATTGGGGAGAGCCAACATAATCAGGCATTGAGCAATCAGAAGTCGAAGGTGGTAAAAACTGTTACCTTAGAAATACTAAATTGCCACAGACAAATCAATCCACACTGTACTATAAGAGTGTGCTATTTCCTAGCATCAATTAGCTAGTAAAAATTCTGAAAAAATTAAAAATAATAGTGTAAAAGGGACATAAAACTACTCAGGCAAAAGATGAGGATTTTTGTCCTGGTTCTACCATCAACTACCTGTTTTGTTGAGGAATTTTAAAGGTTATGTAGTTGAAAGATGATAAATTCAAATGCTCACAGAGGCCCAGGAGGTCACAGAAATGAGGTAAGCCTCCACACCAAGGTAGTAGTTCACTGAGACCACCACTCGGCCTTGCTCCCAACCATTCTTCCCTCCTCATCAGCCAGGGTGTCACTGAAACTCAGACACTGCTAATGACTTTCAGGACATGATCACCACAGGAGGAGAAAGATTGAGGACTTCACATGAAACGCGCTGGTTTGGTTGGCTGAAACTCAGGGTAGAAGAGGAGGAGCAGGAACATAAACAGCCAAGTGCACACTTGCTCAGGCAGCAGTGACCAACTCTCAGGGTGACACTAATTCTCAGTACCCCCACCCATAAATGGGGTTAGGAATGCCTGGCTCAAAGGGTTGTGATGAGGTTTCAAGATCATTCACATCAAGTACTTATCCTAGTACCTGACGCATACAGAGGGCTCAGTAAACGTTGGCTATTATCATCATAATCATCATCAGTGTCATCTTCATTATCCATATAACCATGATCAAGGATGGAAACCAAAACCAGCCTATTAAGCACCTACTGTGAGCTCAAGAGTTATTTAGTTTAATTTCAAGGATGTGGGGGAGGTGCCCATTCGAGGTTGTCAGAGGCTGCCTGGCAGCACCGAGACCCCACCAGTCCAGGACCTAGGACCAATGCCAGACACGAGGATTCATTCCCAGAGGCTAAGATGTATAATATCAGAAAAAGAAAAAAAAACCTTTTAAATGAGTCACTATGAGGTCAGGGGTGGTAAGTTGGGAGTGAATGTAGCAAGAAAGCTGTTGAGAGAGAAATTAAGCAACTAATAGAGCCCGCTTCATAATTATTAATAATAATTCCCTATTCCTCAAACAGCAATGATTGATTAATTAATGTTTGCAAATGAAATGTAATGGGGGTTATCAGATATCTACTAAATTGTGGTTAGTCAATCAAATACCCTTTTAATGAAGATACTGCAACTATAAAGATATTTACCTATAGCCCCTCCTTGTTTCAAAGATAACTTAAGGTACTAAGTTACCATATGACATATAATACAACCAACTATAGCAGCAATCTAAAAATTTTTTAAAGTTGGGAAGTATTGCATCATACCTTATTAATGATAATTAGTAACATGATTCAAAAAGACTCCAAATCAAGAAAGTTATTGTAGTCTAAAATTTAGTGGCCAAATCCAATTGGTATTGGAGATAAATTTTGTTTTATTTTAAGAGCTGGAAACAATTCCTCCCAGGGAGGGACCTATCTTGTGTGTTTGTTTCTAAAGATAAAACCCTCTGAACATAGGATTAGCCAGAGCCATAGGAATTTGGTGATAAGGGAGAGAAAATACACTGCTGAGTAAAACTGAGGGGCATGAGATGGAATTTCAACCTTCAGGAAATATTAATTAATGTGGAGATCTCAGGTTTGGATTGACTGCAGAATTTTGAAGAGCTGTGATATCTGCTATTCAATTTGAAGTTTACTATAGGTGTTTTCAGTATTCTTTCAATATGGTTTCTCATCTCCCAGTCACTCCAAACTTTCAGAAGAGTACACAAATAGAAAATGCTTTCTTTATGTGGCATTGGGGCAAATCAAGCAAAAGGCACCGGGTTGCACGTCTGAGTTAGAGACTAGTCAAGAAAGGTAACTAAAGAGTCAGGCGAAATGATCAGCTGAAAGAGATGACCGTGGTCATATAAGCCTCCTAAATTTACAAAAATCTTAGGTAGAACAAATGGACAATCTACAGAACATGGAACAAGGAGCAAATTATATTTAAATATCAAAAGACAGGATGATACTAGCTATTATAACATCATGAAAATATAACCCCAAAATTTAATAAACTATTTTCTAGCAACCACAAGAATCATCAAATTGTAACCGTACCATGTTAAATGAAATAATTCCAAATGCATTGTCATTTGATAATATTGTCACAGTAACAGTCCTTGGCCATCCAAGCTTCACGTTTGTTGAAGGTTTCT